GTGAACTCTCTCACACGCGCTCTAGATGATCCTCCTGCTAGTGTTCCTCTCCTGCTGGAGTAGTGTTCCGCTCCTGCTAGTGTGGTGTGTTTAACTCATCTCCTGCTGGGGTGGTATGCTTACCAGCTAGATACATGCCGGGGCAATTAAAAAGTATTGCCTATTACTGGATTTTGTGTTAAGGTGCGTTCTTTGTCGTGGAAATGGAATATATAATGAACTAGGAAAAAATACTTATTTGTAGATTTTTGAGGTGTTTGTGGTGCATTTAAGTTGTGTTTATCTGTGTAAATATTTGAAAATCTATGTTTATCTTCTGAAAATGTGATAAATAATTGTGGAAATTGTGTACATATTTTGAGAACTACGTGAATTCCTCTTGACTTAGGGTGCCAGTTTAATTGAAGAGTGCCACTCGTGTTTTGAGTTAATGAAACAGGTTTTGCTAGTCTCCATGGCAGGTAGTGATGAAAAATTAGATTTTACTTCATGCCTTGTTTGTGATTTATTATTCTCTTTCTCTCCCCCCTTTCTTCTTCCCTCCTTCGCTTCCTCTCTCTTGTCAAAGTAGTTTAAGAGGCGGGGTCAGGAGCTGAGACTCACTCCCTACAGAAGCAAATCCGTGAAGACCGGTGCCAGGAGAAACTTGCATTTTTCAATAAGCAAAATACCACCACCGGTACACACAAATCAGAAGTCATGTAAGATATTCATAAATCATATGTAAGAATGTTCCAGTATATAATAACAGTGAGATGGTCCGCTGTGAGTAGATCAAGGACTTGTTTACTGTAGCCTGTAGTGATATCACAAGAATGGAGGAGCACTGTAGTAAGTCGACTGGTCCATATTAGGTTGCTCCATTCGTTCACTACTGTTTCCAAACCAACACTTCCCTATATAAGAACATAAGAATAGAGGTACACTGCAGTACGCCTGTTGGCCCATACTGGGCAGGTCCTTTAAAAATCCAACCCACTAACAGAATATTTGCTTTGATAAATCTATTTACTCATGTAAATACCTGTTTTTCTAAACCAACTCATGTGCAAGTTCCACTCAGTGGGGAAGCGTCACGAGCGGTGTTCCACAGGGGTCAGTGTTGGGCCCCCTGCTGTTCACAATCTACATAAACGACATAGATGAGGGCATAAAGAGCGACATCGGCAAGTTTGCCGATGGCACCAAAATAGGCCGTCGAATTCATTCTGACGAGGACATTCGAGCACTCCAGGAAGATTTGAATAGACTGATGCAGTGGTCGGAGAAGTGGCAGATGCAGTTTAATATAGACCAATGCAAAGTTCTAAATGTTGGACTGGACAATAACCATGCCACATATAAACTAAATAATGTAGATCTTAATATTACGGATTGCGAAAAAGATTTAGGAGTTCTGGTTAGCAGTAATCTGAAACCAAGACAACAGTGCATAAGTGTTCGCAATAAAGCTAATAGAATCCTTGGCTTCATATCAAGAAGCATAAATAATAGGAGTCCTCAGGTTGTTCTTCAACTCTATACATCCTTGGTTAGGCCTCATTTGGATTATGCTGCACAGTTTTGGTCACCGTATTACAGAATGGATATAAATTCTCTGGAAAATGTACAAAGGAGGATGACAAAGTTGATCCCATGTATCAGAAACCTTCCCTATGAGGATAGACTAAGGGCCCTGAATCTGCACTCTCTAGAAAGACGTAGAATTAGGGGTGATATGATTGAGGTGTATAAATGGAAGACAGGAATAAATAAAGGGGATGTAAATAGTGTGCTGAAAATATCTAGCCTAGACAGGACTCGCAGCAATGGTTTTAAGTTGGAAAAATTCAGATTCAGGAAGGATATAGGAAAGTACTGGTTTGGTAATAGAGTTGTGGATGAGTGGAACAAACTCCCGAGTACAGTTATAGAGGCCAGAACGTTGTGTAACTTTAAAAATAGGTTGGATAAATACATGAGTGGATGTGGGTGGGTGTGAGTTGGACCTGATAGCTTGAGCTACCAGGTCGGTTGCCGTGTTCCTCCCTTAAGTCAATGTGACCTGTCCTGACTAGGTTGGGTGCATTGGCTTAAGCCGGTAGGAGACTTGGACCTGCCTCGCATGGGCCAGTAGGCCTTCTGCAGTGTTCCTTCGTTCTTATGTTCTTAAGGTTTTAGCTTCAATAACCCTACTCGGTAGACTTTCACTCATCAGCTACCCTGTTTCCAAACCAATACTTTCTTATATTCTTTCTAAATCTAAACTTTCTACAAGACTGATGGACTGAACACATCGATTCCAGGCTGAGGGACTGATTACCTCAAACTCCTACTCTCCTTACACCTTTCTGCTTTGTATTGGACTGATGAACCCACTGTGTGGCGAAACTTTTCTTCAGTAAAGATTCCCATATGTTGTGCAAGACAGGTATATAATACCGACATGATGAAAGTTAAGACACTTGTGCAACATCTGGTTATCTTTATTGTAGACGTTTCGCCATCCAGTGGCTTTATCAATACAGATTGTTGGACATAATTAGAAAACAGAAGATCTATATACAAAAAGATGAGGTAATCAGTCCCTCAGCCTTAGAGGTGGTGTTTGGAGCACCGAGGTCGTAGAGAATCTCTACGACCTCGGTGCTCCAAACACCATCTCCAAGGCTGAGGGACTGATTACCTCATCTTTTTGTATATAGATCTTCTGTTTTCTAATTATGTCCAACAATCTGTATTGATAAAGCCACTGGATGGCGAAACGTCTACAATAAAGATAACCAGATGTTGCACAAGTGTCTTAACTTTCATCATTCCCATATGTTGCATAAGTGTCTCAATCTTAAATTTATCTAATTTGAATCCATTATTGTTGGTTCTCTCTTGGAGGGATATCCTTAAGACTTTATTTATGTCCTCTTTATTAATACCTATTTTCCACTTATACACTTCGGTCATGTCTCCCCTCATTCTTGGTCTTACTAGCGAATGTAATTTAAAGGACTTCAATCTTTCTTCATACGGAAGATTTCTAATGGTATGTATTAATTTCGTCATTCTTCGCTGAATGTTTTCTAATAAATTTATATCCATTCTGTAATATGGAGACCAGAACTAAGCTGCGTAATCTAGGTGAGGCCTTACTAATGTATATAAAGCTATAGTATAACCGCTGGACTTCTGTTGCTTACACTTCTTGATATGTTTAGTGTCTCAATCTTCAACTTCTTGATATAAATCCCAGTAATCTGTTTGCCTTATTACGTTGGTTTAGAAAAACACGTAAGCAAACACCAGGACATATTTATTAGAAAACGTTTCGGTCCTGGGACTTTGATCACTTCTAACATACAGAGGTTGAAAGGCATTATAGGTGTAGAGTGAGGTGTGAGTGACGCATGGTGACCTGAAGAATGCCATGTTGGGATGAGGACGGGTAGACGATGAGATCATGTGACTCCTGTGTTGCTGAGTAGGTGGTGCTTTGCCTGGTTGAGTATCATGTATGCTAATGTTTTAGAAATTTTGTGGTTTCCAGTGTTACGTTCTGTTGTGTCGGTGACGGCGATTAGCGAGGGTTCTTGACACCGTTGGCGTCTAAGGTCTGGTTCGGTGAGAACGAGTTGTGCCTCATCCCAGTTCATCAAATGCCCTGTGGAGTCTCTGTGGCACTTCGATGCTCGTTCAGGCGGACCGCAAGATCTCTGCCTGTTTCGCCTGCATATTTCTTAGGACAGAATCTACAGGGGATGGTGTAGACGCCTGCTGTGGAATTTAGAGGTGTGGGGCTGCGTTTCGTAGTGAGGTCTTTAATAGATGATGTGTTTATGGTGGAAACGTTGATGTTACTCTTAGCAAGTGCCCGGCGAGTGTTCGTGGTAACATCACCACATTGGAACACTATGAACTGCTTAGAAGGCTGTTCCATGGGCGGTTTGTTGAGGATGGCTTGTGTCTTGAGTCTGCAATCTTCAGGTCACCATGCGTCACTCACACTTCACTCTTCGCCTATATATATGTTTTTCTACCTCTGTATGATAGAAGTGATCAAGGTCCCAGGACCGAAACGTTTTCTAATAAATGTGTCCTAGTGGTAGATTACGTGTTTTTCTAAACCAACTTGCCGGTATTTATTACCAAGGTTTATACCGCCTTATTACGTACGCTTAGGCATTGCTGTCTTGGTTTAAGGTTGCTGCTTCCCATAACCCCCAAGTCCTTTTCGCTGTCTGTATGGCTAACTTCTACATTAATTACTCCTTAACGCTGGTGAGGGGCTCTTGATCTAGGGAATTGGATCTGTGCTCCAGTTCCCTGAATTGAGCCTGAATAGCTTCCATCCCCCCTCACATGCACTGTATAATCCTACGGGTTTAGCGCTCCCCATGATTATAATGATATAATCTACATTATTTTGCTTATAAGCGCTAGGGTTATGGACTTTCCAAAGCTTCAGAATTTTGCATTTATCTATATTGAACGGCATCTGCCACTTTTCTGGCCACGAATTTTGTCTAAAGTCTACTGAAGTTCCGTGACATCTACGTTTGAATCAGTTATCCTACCTGTCTTTGTGTCATTAGCGAATTTGCTGGTAATTCCCTCGTCAAGGTCATTGATGTATATTATAAACAACAACGGGCCTAAAATTGATCCCTGTGGAACACCACTTGTTACAGATCCCCACTCAGATTTAACCCCATTTATGCACACTGCTTTCTGTTCGTGAGCTTTGGCTCGATCCATGACAGCACTTTTCTCCCAATGCCATGAGCTGCCACTTTCTTTAACAGACTCCAAATGAACAATATCAAATTCTTTATCATGATCAACAGCCTCAAAAGCTTTACTGAAGAAAGTAAATTAGTTAGGCAGGAATGGCCCCTCGTGAGTCCATGCTGAGTATCGTTAATGAAATAATGCTTATCAAGATGACTTCTTATAATACCATCTATAATTGACTCTCGTAATTTGCCTACAATTGAGGTCAGGCTTATTGGCCGGTAATTTGATGGTAACCGACTTGTCCCCTGCTGTATAAATAGGAATTACGTTGGCCATTTTCAACATATGAGACACTACACCTGTTTAAAGATATATATTAAAAATGTTAGTCAGTGGTTCACAAAGTTCCAGTTTGCATTCCTTAAGAACCCTTGAAAAAGTTCATCACGGCCCGGAGATTTATTTTGCTTCACTCA